TAAGGACTGGTGGATATCCCACACTCCACACATCCAGCCCACATCCTATCCAATTTTCTGCACCAGGCCACCCTCAGCCCGAGACAAAGATCTCCGCTTCCCTCGTTCAAGACCGTTTCCATTGACCATTGCAGGCCAAATTGTGGAAGCACCTCAAGGTTACTTCCAAACTACACCGGTACTTATTATAAGCATGCTTTGAATGACTGTTCTCCAGGTTCATCGAACCTTTTGTACCAGTGTCACGGTAACTGACACCAAACCTATTGGCGATTAAACACCCACCGCAACACCGACATGTGTCCATTTCATGACCCGGGCGCTTTAAATACCATCACGACGATGACTGAATGCTATAACTCCAAAAGAATTGGGAAGATCACAAGCTATCCTAATGTATAACAAGATCACTAGCCTCCCATTGTGCTTTAATCCGACTTTCAGACACATGTCACAGAATGCTAACATCGACCAAAAATATACACCATTCCCCAAAAAAGTGTAATTTTTGGAATGCTCACCTGTGATGATGAGATTATGCGCATTTGCAACCATCATGTCAGTGACTTGATCAAGAGTTTTGCCTTGCACGTATATTCCATTCACTTCAAGTACCTGTAAGGTCCCGATGATCGCTATGATTTAATGAAAGATGAGAGTAAATCTGAAAGAGATATGTACCTCGTCATTAACACCTAGAAGACCGGTGGATTCGGCTAGACCGCCATCTACGAGACGAGATATGAATATACCCTGCACTTTTGCTACACCACGTTCTGTCACACGGACCGACGTTCCATCTCTGTAAATTAATCCTCAAACAAGTATTTGTGCTCCGTTTCCCAATATTATTAGAAATGCTCCTCCATAAGACGCTTGCCAAACAATTAACTTATCACAGAACCATTATTGAACTATGGAATTCATGTAAGCCAGATACTGAAAATGGTTAGGATGCCAGTCGGTTTATCGGTTCTTTTATAGGTTTACAAAGAATGGTGGAAAATTAAAATAAAACACACATACATTTCATTTCATTTCAACAATGAATCATGGATAATACGTTTAAAAAGGCACCTGATATAGAACCCAAGCGGCCTATCCGACCCATGCTTGCATAGTCGTACCCGACGATGAGCTTCAGGCACAATATCAACGTCAATGATGGCAGAAACCTGAATCAATCAATAGTAACATTGAGTTATAAACAGTGTTAATGCTGAGCAAACATTTTGATTTGGAACGCAACTTCCTGCTGTTCCGACTACAGGTAAACTAAAAAGTGTACTGAACTTTGCATCCAAT